AAATGAATTTGGGTCACTCTTGGCCAGCCGGCCATATTTTGTGCCGACCTGCTACTTGTGATGGCCGATCTGCTACTTTTTTGGTCGATCGGCCACAAAAGTCTGCTTTTCAGGCCCAACTTTAAATGGGAATAACTCCTTCATCTGGACTCCTTTATAGGTCATTCTTGTGTCCAAATTGAAGCTCTGGAAGTAATATTTCCAATGGTGGCAGCCTTGCATCAAAATTCTAACTTTGAAAAAAGTTATGCCTTCTTTGGTGAAGCCGCTCCGTTTCGGTCCAACCGGATTGATGCCCTACTTCAACCAATCATATCTCCCTCATCCAGACTTGGCTTTAGGAGATTATTGAGTGTAAAATGAAGCCCCAAAAGTCTTGTTTGCAATGGTGGTGGCCTCATAGATTAAATCCAAGTATAAAAAATGATAGGCCCGATTTGGCGAGGACTGCTCGTCTCTCTGTTAACGATTCATGTCCAACTTCTTCCTCAACTAGGTTTCTTCTCACCACTCTTCTTTTCTTCTACTCCAAACCCCCGAACAAGGTGTTTTGAAAGATTTTTCAAAGATTTCATCTCTCTTTCATTCATTTCCACTTTGTCCTCGCTCGTTTTACCGAAAAGCACAACATTTAACGAAATGCGAGCCTCAGAACATCGTAGGAACTTTATTTCAAAAATATTTTGAAAGAGAGGGTTTTAAGTTTTAAAAACCATCCAAAATAGCTTTGGTCCACAATGGGGTGTGAGGTTAGGATTTGACTCTCCTCTTGCCGAAGAAATCGAACCTTTGCCCTGCACACCTTTCATCACCAAATAAACCATCAGTAACGCTCAAGTCTTAAGGACGGTAAAAAATGGGGTGTCTGCATCCATTTACAAACTTAAAGTTATATATGTATGCATATATGTGTATATAATTCTATATCATGTTTACATAACCAAAAAATTTAATGTGAATACTAAAAGGAAAATATTGAATTGAACTAACATAACTTTAAAAAGGACTTCAGTACCCATCTAAAAAAATAAAAATAAAAATAGGTACTCGATTAAGAAATTCAATTTTGAATTTTCTTAGTCTAAAGATCCAGGCATTGATTTTCTTTGCCCATAAGGACAAGTATATGTAAAATGACCAACATACCCTTATGTATGTAAACCATATACAACACTGTCTAAACCCTAAACACTTATATTCCTCTTTCTCTCTCTCTTGCTCTCTTTCTCTCTCTCTCCCTCTCTCTCTCTCTCTCTCTTATTCGCCTCACAAATGGCACCGACGCCGACACTGACGTCGACTCCGTCGCCTCAGTCACTGTTGCCACCACCACCTCCACCTCCGTCGCCACACTCTCTCCCTCTCTCTCTCTCTCTCTCTCTCTCTCTCTCTCTTTCTCTCTCTCTTTTCCTCTTCACCTCCACCTCTATCTCCACTCACTTGTAGCAACAGTTCGCTACCACATCGACTCTACGGCGACGATGATCGACAAAATAGAAAAGCGTAATAGACGTTTGAAGAGTGATGAAAAACGCCTTCTATGTTCGTGAAGCCTTCTTTTCTAGAGAACCATCACCATTTGCACCATCTGCACCATCAACAATGTCGAAATGGCAGATCCGCTCTCCAAGCAAGCTGTGGTGGGAATACTTATGATGATTACATTTTATACACGTATGTGCTCGTCGAACCTAACAGATTCTCTTACATTCCCTTTATAATACTCCATTATAGTACTATAGAGAGAAAGAGATAACATATAACATATATTTATATATATATATATATATTTTGAAGGCTTGAGTAATTGTTTCAATCGGTTTGATTTTGTTTAACAATGGCAACATAATGATTTTCTTCGATTTTTGATTCTTAATTATTTTGCTTTTAGAGTAACGATTTGGCGATAGTTCAGAGGAGTTGTTGAGTTCAGTTTCGTCTGATGAAGGCATATCAATTTTTTTTTTTTTTTGGTTGTTGCTGTTGTTGTTGTTGTTGTTGTTGTTGAATAGATCTATGTTAAATTTGTTTTTTTGTTTTTTTATGTTTGAGCTCATCGTCTAACAGATTTGTGTTAAATTCTTTAGATTTTTTAAGGTTTTTGTTTAGGTTTGAGCTCATTTATGTGATGGAATTCGTCTGATGAATGCATTTCAGTTTTTATTTTATTTTATTTTATTTTATTTTATTGTTGTTGTTGTTGTTGATTGCAACAGATTAAAAAAAAAGTTTTAGATCTATGTATCTGTGTAATATTTGAGAGTTGGTTTCAACAGATAAAGAAATAAAATTTGGATAGAGAAAAAATTAAAAAGATAAATCTGTATAGATAGAAATTAGAACAAGAATTAGTTTCAACCGATAAGGGAGGGAAAATAAATAGATAAAAAAAGTTTGAATCTCAATACATAAAAAAAAAATTAGAACAAAAATTTTAACAAATAGGAAATGATAAGACAAGAATTTTAAAGAGATAAAATTTTACACAGATAGGGAAAAATATGACAAGAATTTGAACAGATAGCCCAAAAAATTGAACAGATAGAAATAAATTTGAACAGATAGTTAACGAAAAGTCAACAAATAAAAAAAATTAATAGGGGTAAAATTGAAAACAAAATGTCCTTAAAAATCAATAAAAGGGTTTCTCACCAAACTATTTCACAAAAGGTGAACCCATCACCAACCAAAACTATTCACTAGACCTATTGCCTTAGACACTCTATACATTAAATTTATCATCAATATATATATATATATATATATAAACAACGAGACTTAAGTGGTGGCGCAAGTCATAATATGATAATATTGATAAGAATTTAATCTAGCAAGAATCTTCGCTTTCTAAAAATAAATAATATTTTTTAACCAAATAAATTTAGTTTATAAAAAAAGAAAAAAGGAAAGGACAATTGTAGAAAAATGACAGTAATAAAAAATAATTATAAAATAGTAAAAGTATAAACATTTTATGCGTTAGATTGTACAAGAAAGTTTTATACTTTCATCCCTTGACAATTATTTTGGGTTGTCATTTATTTATTTATATTTATCCCAAAAACAAATTTCACAAATTTTCGTCCAACTAGACTTAACAATGTAAATTGACCATTCATCAAATCTAAAACGCATCCAAGTGAATCGATCTATGATTTGAACTTGTTGGATGTAAGCTTTATCGAGTCAGTTAATGTACGGTCCAAATTAAATTTGTCTATTTTTTGAGATACGCGCATGCTTATATGGAGATTTACACAGAAAATGCATTGGGTAATTTAACTTTATTGTAAACATGACGCAAATAACATTAATGCATAGTCACCTTCTTGTCTTTTTGTAGAGTTTTCAAAATATGTATTTTTAAAAAATGAAAAAGAAAAAATATTTATTATTTTGAAGGTAAATTGTACTTTTCATCCTTATAATTTAATCTAAATTTCATTTTAATTTCTATTATTTTAATTTGAATAACTTGGTCCCAACGTTTTAAGTCTAATTTTAATTTAGTCATTTTGTCTATTTTTTTTGGGTCTACGTGCACACTTTAAAAAATTAATAATTATTCCAAAATTGTTAATTTTAACTTTTGTTTTAAATGGAATGACCACATTGAAATTATATTTAAAGTGTAGGATCCAAATTTATCAACAAAAAAAATATAGGGACCGAATTGTTCATGTGGGGATGTATTTTTAGGGTGGTGCCACATGGTCGAGGTGTCGCTGAGATGTTGGCCGAGGTGCCACGTGGGCGAGCCAGTTTGCCGAGGTAAACTAGAATCCGAAATATTTAGATAGAGGACAAGAGTTCGAAATAAGTGATGAGTTTAGTTCGAATAAAGATGAGGTTGTTAAGTAGTTCATCCATATCTAAATAAGAGTTCGAGATAAGCATTGTGCTTGAGTCCTACGAAGTGAAACTTTTAGGAGTCGATGGCACTATTAGCTATAAAAGTGAGACACCCCCGTGGGTCTGAGGTATGGTTTTACTTGTGCATTGAGTACTTGTTTGATATCTTTGAAAGATAAGATTGATTGACTTGATAGTCGAAGTGCCCTTGGGTAGACGAGCCACCGTGGTATTCTTGTCTTCTTATTGGCCGGTGCTTAGTTTAATTTAGTCTACTGCGTGCTCTGTAGGTAAGTTCTCTGTTTGGTTATGAGGTCAAAAATCAACACCCACAATTTGGCACTGTCTGTGGAAACTTAATATAGAATAGATGGCCAGCGCCAGATAAGAGGCAAGAGTCGAGGACAACATGCACAGTGAGGAAGAGGAGTACGCAAATCTAAATGCTGGAGGAGGAAACAATGATGAAATCTTAAGGCAAACAATGCTACAAGGGGCCGTAATGGCTCGGGAAAAGGCAACCGAGAAGAATATTACGACAAGAGCAACTTCCAGGTGTGGAAAGAAAGATGCTTGAGAAGAGACGACGAGCTGAAGGACTTGGCAAACAAGTTGACAGACCTGTAGACCGTGGTGAACTTCATGATGCAAAGCAAGGTGATATAATCGACGTTTTTTTTTTTTTTTTTTGGGTGCATAGATGCAACCGATGTTGCCTTTACCAAAAACGCTTATGCCTAGAAAAAAGGACTGGCTGCAGTGCCAACTGTCTCACAACATGATAAGATGCTTGGGAATTCGCATTAGTAATCATATAATGACGGGCGGATATAATCACGTCGGGAAGAGTTCTAAAGAACCTTGAAGACCAAGGAAACGAAGATCAGGAGATCTCGGCAGGTCAACGGGTAAGGCCTCTGATGACGTAATAGAAATAGAGAAGTCCAAAAGAACGCATCCTAATGTAAGTAGCAACGCACTAAAGAGACTGAAATCGACCGATAACAGAACTCCTAGACAAACGAAGGAAGATTTGAGAGATTACTTCTAGAGGAAGAGGTAGAATAAAAAGATTTAGCATACCGAGATTCCAGATCTACAATGGTAAGTCTGACCCGAACTTTCATGTTGGTTTATATTTGAATGTAATGGCTTTATGGAATGAGAATGAACAATTATTGTGCAAGGTGTTCCCTTCAACATTTGGGGAGATAGCATGGAATTGGTTCCACAAATTGCCGAAGAGATGTATGAAGAGCTGGGAATGCCTGGCCGAGATATTTGTGGCCAAGTTTGTTATAAACAGATTGCAACCACTAAGGATAGATTCCCTATTGGCTTTCAAGGTTAGCGATGGCGAAAGCCTTAGGGCTTACGCTAAGAGGTACTACGAGGTTTACAACTGGATCCCGGTTTGTAACCAAGAACTTGCAGTCGTGTCTTTCAAGAAAGGCTTGGAGGATGACTGCCCATTTCGACAATCCCTTGCAAAGACCCTTCCAAAGAACATGGTGGGCCTCATGGTAAGGATTAAGAAGTACGCAAGGGCAGAGGAAGATACAAGTACAGTGAAGTAAGAGAACAGAAACGGCTTACCAAAGCACAACTGAGGAAATACCGGCATTGATAGGCCAGAAATAAGATTAAAGGCTATGCAGGCTGTAAGCACGGTTTTCAAGATCCCCATTTATAGGGTCTTGGAAAGGATCATAAATTAGCCATACTTCAAGGTGTCGCAGAAAACCCAGAGGGGAGTATATGGGCAGAAACTCTGGGAAGAATTGTGCCTACCATGAGGTGACGGGCTTTGAAACAACATTTGGAGGATCTGGTCAGGCGGGGACACATAAGAGACTTGATAGACGAAGCAAAGACATAAGGGGAACACGTGAGGCTGGCCCAGGTGCTCGCAGCAGCACCATTACCCCCGCCACCATAGGCAGATGGACCATGGATTATTAACGTGATCTGCACGAAGGTCAATAAAAATGAGATTTGAGGAAAGACATAGAGGATAAGGCATCTGCAACATGTCTACCAAGTCCAATAGAAGAATCCTTGGATGGAGAGAGGGGCCCGATGATCTCATTCATAGAAGAAGACCTAGATATGGTACAACATCCGCATAATGGTTCTCTAGGAGTGACACTGAAGATTGGAGACTGCCAAGTAAGGTGTATATTGATAGATAGAGGTAGCTCCTGTAACATCATGTATGTTAGATGTTACAAAGAGCTTGGCCATCACAAGGACGATCTGGAGTAATCCGATAGCCCTATGGTCAGATTTAATAAGACACCGACGCGGCTACTAGACACCACAAACTTGGAGATTCAGGTAGGAAGCAAGACCGTAACCACATAATTCACCGTGATAGACACTTCTTTCCCATACAACATCACCTTGGAAAGACCTTGGCAGCATGCTATGAGGGTTGTTCCCTCAACTCTGCACAAACTGTTGCAGTTTCCAATCGAGTTCAGGATTGAGGAGGTGAGAGGAGACCAAGTGCAAGAGAAAAATTGCTCTATGGCAGCAAGGAAGTACACCTGCAGTGTTAGAGAAACGGAGATGACATATATAAAAGATGAAGACTAGGAGGTCTTAGACAATGTCAGTAAAGAACTCGCTGACAAGAGCCAAGAGCCTTTGAAAAAAGTTTTGGTAAAAGGGGACGAAGAGCGATTCTTACTCCTAGGCTCAGGCTTAGCCGATGAAGAAGAAAAAAATCAGAGGGTTTCTTGAGAGAGCAATAATTCGACTGGGGGTACACCAATAGAAACTTGCTAGGGTATACAACAAGAAGGTGAACCCTAAGGAGTTCCAAACTGGGGACCTCGTCCTAAGGAAAGTCGTTAGCAACGAAAAAGATCCCAGGGAGGGTAAGCTTGGCCCAAACTGGGAAGGATTGTACAGAATTATCTCGGTTCTGGCAATGGCGCATACTGGCTAGAAGACAGTGATGACGAGGAATTGCCAAGATCGTGGAATACTAGTAATCTAAAATTCTTTTATCATTAATTTTCCAATTTTGTCTATGTAATCTAGATAATCTTTAACTGAAGTATTAATAAAATACTAGTCTGATTTTGTTCCTTACAAAATGTTGTTAAAATTCATAACTGTGAGATAAGATAGAAAAGTCTTAAACTGATGTTCCTAGTATAAACAAGATGATTAACTTAGACTTGCCATGATGGCAGAGTTGAACTAAGTTAAAGAGATGTTTTAATGAGAAACAAGGCGAAACCGGCCACAATCTGGCCAGTTTGTCCGAAAAGTCAAGGTAGACAGTATTTTCGGTGTACTAAGGTTAAGCCTTAAGTGTTTTGTTTATGCGAACTAAACATGATAACCTCGGTCATGGATGTCTAAGTCAGATTAGGCAAGATTCATCCGATGCATCCTTAATATGAACCTAAGTGATACTTAGATTCACATTAAGGGGCAAAGAGTATGAATAAGACATAAGACAGAAAAGTCTTAAGCTGATGTTCCTAGAATGAACAAGATGATTAACTTAGACTTGCCATGATGACAGAGTTAAACTAAGTTAAAGAGATATTTCAGTGAGAAACAAGGCAAAACCGACCACGATCTGGCTAGTTTGTACGAAAAGCCAAGGTAGGTAATACTCTTGGTGCAGTAAGGTTAAGCCTTAAGTGTTTTGTTTAGGTGAGCTAAACACGATGACCTCAGTTATGGATGTCTAAGTCAGACTTAGGCAAGATTTAGACGAAGCATCCTTAATGTAAACCTATGTGACACTTAGATTCACATTAGGGAGGCAGTGAGCATAAATAAGTCAAGTGAATGTGACACCTGTGAAAATTTTTAGAAAATTTATTATGAGTTGAAGTTATTCGAGATGTTTGATTATAGTTTAACCCGAGATGATTTGTTGTCAAGATGTCATACTTAGAAGAATTCTTTAAAGAAGGGCAAGATTGTGCAAGATATATGAAAGCAGCATGAAAAATCAAGCATCTGTAGCTTGCTTTTTGTGCTCATTTCGGATACAATAGCTCTACATTTCGGATTCTTGTGGTTTTGAATCTGATTTCATAAGTGTAATGTGAAATAAATAAACACAAATGAGTCTAAATCTGACAACTCTTTTGGAAAATTGATTTTGAAATAAAATGCCAAAAAAGGACTGCTTTGCTAGATTTCAGAGTTGCCACCTAAATGTTTTTGAAAAATTTAAGAAACCCATGTGTAGACACCCCATTTTTGACCGGCCTTAAGACTCAGACGTCATCGATTGAGCACTTGGTGATGGTGCATATTGTGCTCGTTCTGAGGTTTTAGAGTTTTGGTTGAGAGCCTTGCCTCCGGGCCTCGGAACTCTTTGTGCTTTGGCTCGGTTTACGGACCAAGTCTTGTTTTCCCTTCCTAGAGGGAGGGAGTGGTCTTGTAGACCATCTCTCTGTGGTTGTAGACTACTTTTCGTGGTCGTAGGCCACTTTTTCTGTTTGGAGACTAGTTTCCAGTTTTTGGAGCCTTTGGCCGAGCGCCTTGTCTCGGGACCGCTTAACATTTTCCGTTTGGCGTGGTTTTTGAACCACACCTTGTTGTCTCTACCTAGAGGAACACTGTGGTCCAGGAGACCACTTTCGTGGTTGCATACCACTTTTGATGCTCGTCAGCTAGTTTTTGGGGCTTTTGGCCGCGTGTTTCGCCGCCCGATTTCTCGTCTTGCATCCGCTTTGGTTTATTTTTGGTATAAACATTGCTTTCCTTGTTTGGAAGGTGGTACAAGGGTGGAAGACCAGTATTTCTCCTTGGAGACCACTTTTCCTTTTTCCAGCTAGTTTTCATGTCAGATAACTGGCTTTCTTGGTATTTGGACCATCTTTTCTGGTCGGCCACCACACCACCACCTTGCATTTAGTGTGTTGACCTCTCCCACCTATGGACGACCAGTTTTTGCTCTGGTTGACCACCTAAAGTGGTCAGTCGGCCACTTTTACTAGCAGGCCGACCACTTCAAGTGGTCAGCTGCTTTTTGGCACATTTTTGGAGATATTTTAGGACAACTGGCACAGTTGGAGAGCATTTGTGCCATCCTCCATACACGTGTATGGAGGGATGGCATTCAAGCTTAGCTTCTCCAATAAGCTTTGGCTTTCCTCTTCTATAAGAGGGAAGCTCCTCCTCTCTCCTCTAGGTTCAGAAAATCTGAGGGAAGATGATAGATATACTGTTGTATCTATATTGCCTTGTTTGCTTCATTTTTGTACCTTAAAGTGTAGATTTGTCTTATTTTAACACACAAACACACACTCAAACACCATCCTTTTGCTACTGAGGTGCTTAGGGGCTGATTTTGGTGTTCTTGGGTTGCCATGAGCTTGAAAAACCTGCTGGAGTTGCAGTTATAAAGAGGGTCTTCAAGGGTGAACTTTTGACCTTTAAATCCCCTTTTTTTGCTTAAGCTTTTAGCCTATCTTTTATGCTGTTTTAAGCTTAGCTCATAACTGATAAAAGTTCTGTTTTTGCATGCTTAAAAAGTTTGTCTAAGATTACTTTTGTGTTTGGGGTTGTTTACCCTCTCTTAGGCCTTGTTTGGCCTTGTTTTTTAGCCTTTTTTTGTAAGCTTCGGGACCACCTTGTATTGGCCTTCTTTCAGTGGTGGGGATGGTGTTTTAAGGTCCTAAGAAGGAGAGGGTCCCCTCTCCTTGTGTTTTCTTTACATGCCTTAATATGCCTTATGTTTGAGCACCTTTGTTAGGTGTATGTAGACCATATCTTAGCATGTATTTGTGGTTATTGTGCTGAGGCATACCATTGTTTTTACTTGTCTTGGTCACTCCATGCATGGTTAATACACTTGTAGTGTAGATCACACACACTAGCTTTGTATGCTTCGTGAAGTAGCATGCATTTCTAGCCTATGTTGTGTCCATTTCAGCATGTCTTGGGCTTGTTTTACCATGTCATACCTCTGTTTAGGTTTGGTTTGGTTAGCCTTTGCATGCTCCATGCACTTATAGTGCATTTCCATGAAGTAGCCTAACATGCATCATGTTGTGACATGTCATTCTAGCATGCTTTTGGCTTAACTTCATGAAGCTTTTGTCCATGTTTTAACATACTTTAGCTCTGATTTTGGTTGTTTTGGTCATGCATGACTTGCTGTGTATAGCCTTGGTTCAATCTAGCTTGTTAGCTTTGTGTATTGGTCCACTAACATGCATTGCTTGGCCTATTTCAATGATTTGGCATCATTTATTATGTAATTTCAGTCCATGTAATATGGCCATACACTTGCATTTATCGCTCATTCAATGCATTGGAGGGTTTCCCCCTTTATGTCTTAACATGAACCATTGCGTATGCCTTCATGCCTTTGCTTGCGAGCCACCATTTCAGTGTTTATTTGGGATTATTTTGCCATGATATAACTCTGATTTTTATTGCTTAAGTCATTCCATGCTTGGTCTTAATAGGTGCAGTGTAACTCACCTTGTTTGCCTTGTATGAATCATGCTTCATGCCCTTCATGCTAGAATATTTTGGCCTACTTCCATACATGTTTTAGACTCATTTTAACATGTTCTAGGACTATTTTGGG